TCTATCTATCTATCTATCTATCTATCTATCTATCTATCTATCTATCTGCTTATTTATTTATTTGTTTGCTTAGTTTTTCAAGTCTTTTCTCTGTGTAGCCCTGGCTGTCCTGAAAATTTACTTTGTGGGCCAGGCTGACTTTTAACTCAGAGATTTGCCGCCTCTGCGTCGTGAATGTTGGGATCAAAGGCACAAGCATGCCTGCGTTACTGAGTGAAACTTACTGAAGTATCTTTGCTCTTGAGGCTGCAACAATGAACCTGGGAATGCAGACATCTTTTCAGCACACTGACTTACGCCTGCACACCTAATAGTGGGATTATGAGGTCACAGAATAAGTAGCTTTTCTTCAATTTTCAGGGACTCTCCACACTAACCTACAAGGTTTCTTATACTCCACCTTCTCACCAAGGTTTTCATCTTTTGCCTTTTGAATATTCCAGCAGTTCTAAGTTAACAGTTCATTGTAGTTTTATTTTGCGCTCTCTCCCCCTCATTCCCCCTCCCCAGAGACGGGGTTTCTCTGTATAGCCTTGGTTGTCCTGGACTCGCTCTGTAGACCAGGCTAGCTTTTAACTCACAGAGATCCCCCTGCCTCTGCCTGCCTGAGTACTGGGACTACAAATGCGCCCCACCATGCCCGGCTTGTTTTGCATTTCTTAATCATCTTTGGTGAGTAAATTTTAAACATACATGTGTAATATCTTTCTGTGAGAATTTCTATTCAAATCCTTTGCCCCTTTTAGTTAGCATGTCTTCCTGCTACTGACTTATTCTGACTTCCTTATACACAGATATTAGCCATATTTTTCTCTCATTCCATGGTTGTCTATTCACTCTTGTAGACTGTTTGCTCTGCCATACAGCAGCTTTTTGGTTTGCTGCAACTCTATGTGATGACTGTTTTATTTTTGACTTTGTGGACTGGACTGCTTGATACAAATTTTAAAAACTCTTTACACAGACCAGTATAATACAGTGTGCCTTTTGTTTTCTTCTATGAGTTTTACAGTTTCAGGACTTAAAATATTTAAGACCTTAATCAGCATCGCTGTACACACAACTTACCCCATTTTTGGTACTGAGGACTGAACCTAGGACCTCATTCATACAAGGCTGATATTCTACAACTGACCTATATTCCCAGAGCCTTTAGTTCACTTTGAATAATTTCCAGTTTCTCCAACACCATTTATAGGACAACAAACAAGCAAACTGTCCCTTTTCCTATTATGTATCCTTAGTATATCTGTCAAAATTCAGGTGACCAGAAACGCCTAAGTCGAACTTTTGGGTTCTCAACTGTGCTCAGTTGGCTCACCACACTCTTGACTACAATGGCTGCTCGAGCCTCCTGCAGAACACTCTGTGTACATATAAGTACATATGTGCTCATGTGCGTGCAGGTATGTATGAGCAGATGTGCACACACTCAGGCCAAACATTAACACATGTCCTTCTCAATCATTCCTCACCTTATTTTAAAATTTTGTGGGTTTTTTTGTTTGTTTTTACATTTATTAATTTATAGCTGTGTGGGATAACTTGGGGGAGTTAATAGCTAGGACTGGCTGGCCAGCAAACGCTGCTCCTACCTCCCAGGGCCTGGGTTACACATGGTGCCTGACTTTTGATGTTGGGCCTGGGTGTCTGTGCTCAGAATCATGCTTATACAGAAAGTGCATGGAGAAAAGCAACCTCCTCAGTCCCACTGTGCTACATTTTGAAGCCAAATTAGTATGTGCCTTCAGTGTGTTTTTCTTAAGAATACTTTCACTACTTAGGTGTTTTGCTTGTACTTTTGTGGTTTCTTAAAAATATTACAGTTGCTTTTTAAAAAAATTGTGAAAAATGTCACTGGAATTTTGATAGTGATTACAATAACTGATTTGGGTAGCATGGGTGTTATGACGGTAAATGTAGGCCAGCAAGATGGCTCAGAGGGTAAGGCTACTGCTGCCAAGCCTCAAGACCTGGTTCAATCCCTGGAAGTCACATAGCAAGAGAGAACCAACTCTAATAAGTTGTTGTCTGACATTCACACAGGCATAATATATACCCTACTCCACTCATACACACACACAAGTAAATATATAAAAACAGAAATGTAATATTACTAAAATATTTAAAAGCAATCATAATAGTAGCATAGTTACAAAAATATCATTAAGGACTACCTATAACAATCTTGGGTTCCACTGCAGGCCACAGACCAGGCAAAGATCACAAAGGAAGGAAAAAAGTCATGCTTACTGTTTTGTTTACTTTACTATTTCCATTCGGTTCCTGCTTGGTGCTTCTCATTTTCATTCCTTCTGCAAAGGGAAAGGAAAAAAACAAAACTCTCATAGATTGGTTAACTTTTCATCACACCAGCAACAAAAACAAAAACATATTCACAAGATTTATTTTAAGCTCACTGACTGAATAATGCAACAGATGTTTCTCTATCGTAACATTTGTAATAAAAAGTTCAAAGCTAAATTTGAACTTTTTGAAAATGGTCTCACTTTTATAAGGTTATCTGGACACTTAACGTACAAGTATTACTCTATTTATCATGGCTTCACCTTAAAACTTCATTATTCTTTCTTCATCCTAACTTTACCAAACAGAAGAACTCAGATATTTTTTCTTTTTAACATTATTTTCTTTGAAAGATAAATAAATAAATAAATAAAATTATATATATATATATATATATATATATATAAAATATGAGGGCACAAATCAGAACAGTGACTTTTCTCCAAAGCTCACCAAAGCTCTCCTTCAGCATTGGTTCCTTCTGCTCATCCTCTTCATCTTCCTCTGACAATGGTGAAAAGGCAAACCTGACAGAACAAAGAACAGAAAGGAATGCCGCAAAGGAACAACCTCTTTCAGAATAGTCCAGAACTAATATTGAAACTGAAACTACAATACTGCTTCTCTTTCAGAAATGTTGGGAGCCGCTGTTCTAGCAGCTGCTTTGATATTTAAATCTCAGCGCAAAGACTGGTTTTACCAGGCCTTCACTGAAGTCAGGAAAGAATTTCCAAGTCCACCTTTTGTTTGCGACAGCAGGTGGGATAGCTTGTCAAAATCACACCTCGTTTCACCTCCTTGTGATTTTAACTCACTGTGCTGAGCTGATTTTACTCTGGCTTAAAAGCAGTCTGAAATAAAGTCAGGGGCACTGGTCTAGTCTAGTCTCCACCAAAGCCTCTCGGAAAGGTCCCGTGTGTTGTGTGTTAGTTTATTAATTTTAACCCTCACTCCCGACTCAAGAACCGTTCGACTCTGCTGGCAGGCTCCGGCACAGAAAGTTCTTAAATGCCTGTATCATCAACTGAGCAGCATGACTCACAGGTATGAGCCACTTTCACTTTGTGAGAGATGGCAAGAACCCTAAGTTTGCAATTAGCAGGAGACTGGACAGTCTTGTCAGGGCTCCTCTTGATTCTGGAGCTTGACCCCACTCTGGTTAGAAGAAGAACAGTTCTTTGCTATTACAGGATCACACCTGGGAGTTTGTTAAGGGTATAGAAAGACTGAGCAGATAATAACTAACAAATGAATTTAGAAAACTGTTAGGTGAGGGGGGAATTGTCAGGGTATTGTTCCCTCAAGAATTAAAACATTCCACCCTGCAGGGAAGCTCCTTAAACAGGCAAACACTTCAAAATAGAATGTGGAAGTTCCTGAAACCAACTGGATTCACTAAAACCCTTCCCGCCAGAGTAAGCAATAAAACCTGGGAGTCCCTCTCAGAGGATGAAAACTACAAAAGACTCTCAAACAAGCCAAGTTACAAAGACTCTGAGACCAGAGCAGCTGCCTGGAAGAACCAGCCAAGTTGCCTACAAGAGGTTTAGACCAACTGAGGCACCTGGAAAGGACTCTTCAACCTGTTGAGCGGCCTACAGGCTGTGCAGTGTGCTCCAAGGTGCCCAGCTTTGTGAGCTGTTGCCCATGCTGGGATAGGTTTTGGCGATGCAGCTATCTTTGAGGCATTTTTACTCCTGTAAGTAACTCTAATAAAACTCATTGGTTAAAACTCAATGGTTAAAACTCATTGGTTAACCAAACTGGGTTTTGGTGGTGTCCATACTTTGGTCTCTTGCTCCCTATCTGAGGTGAGTAGACACATTTTCCAAGAAAAGTTTTGTCACACAACAGGGTATGGAGAAAATGACCAGGGCATACTGGAGAACATCACTAATACACAGGCAATTTCTATTATCCCTTATCCTTGGTTTAATTCTCCTCATACATAACACTACGAACATAACTAAGCAATTAATATGAAGTCATACAGAATTCAGGCAGTGTTTGGAAAAGGGAAAAGAAAGCAAGACAGTAATACAAAAACAAACAAAGAAACAAACAAAAACCTTAGAAACCTTTAGAGAAAGGAAACATTTAAACCTACTTTAGTTACAGCTAATAAGCAACACACTAAGAGCAGTTATAATAGGGGCTCCCAATGCTGTACATCCCCCCCCACCAGTATGGTTTCAGCTCTCTCTAATTTTCTTTCACAGCTTTTCTCTATTCCTTGACTTTCTTTTTTTTCAGTGAACACACAGTAAGTGCATAATTTAAAAGTACAGCAAAACCTTTCACCTGTTTTCTCTCCCAATTTTATTTGCATATCTGATTATTAAGTTCTCACCCTTAGCCTTTAGGGTTATGTGGTTTAACATAAGCTCTTAATCATCTAAATACAAGACAGGGGAAAAAGAACAGGAACAAAGGTACGGATGCTGATAAGGATGGGGCAGCTCCTAAGCAGGATTTGCCTGCACTAAACAAGTAACCATTATATGATGACCTTAAACTCCAGAGTCAGTAACACAGACTTTCATTTTACCTTCTCACCTCAGTAAGTCAGGCAAGGCCTAAAGAATTTTTTATTGCTTTCTGCACAACAGAAAGTAGAGAGATATTCTCTCTACTATTATTCTCTCCTGTTATTTACCTAAACCAATTATTTATAGTGTAAGATGTTGACAGAGTTGAAACAGACCTAAGTAACTCAGTTTTATTCCTTTTCATTATAAAAAAGTAAACTAAGGCCCACAGAAGTAAAAGAGAGAGCATGCTTGAACTGAAGGGCTCTCATAGGCTGGAGCACGGCAAACATGGTTCTGCAGGCCTGGCCCCTCTCCCCCATTCCCTCTGCCTTGCTATTAGATTACATTCCTAACACTAGACACCAAGGTCTATTTCCTTATTTGGCCACTTCCTCCTCCTGAAGCTGACTACCAAAGTCCAGCTATCAAAGTACTGAAGTCCAGTAATCAAAAGCCTCCTTTGATTTACCCTAATATGTCCAATTAAAACCCCATCCTAACATTGGGTTTCCCCTTTTACCTTTATAAATTAACATGTTCCTATGGGGCACATCTGTCTTCTCTCTATCCAGAGGCAGGCCTTTGTACCCTTCCTCCAACTCCAGAGACAAATATATCCCTGTCCCCCCTCCTTTGTTCCCTTTCCCTTATCCTCTGTCTACTATCTTTGTCTCAAATAAATCTCCTTGGTGCTGAGAACATTGTCCTGGGATTTCTTGTGTCTACTGGTCCTTTTTTTTTTTAAAGGTTTTATTTTATTATGCATACAATGCTTTTGCCTACATGTACACTTAAACACCAGAAGAGGGCGCCAGATCTCACTGGAGATGGTTGTGAGCCACCATGTGGTTGCTGGGAATTGAACTCAGGACCATCTGGAAGAACAAGCAGTGCTCTTAACCTCTGAGCCATTTCTCCAGCCCCTCTACTGGTCCTTTTAAGAGCTACCCGACACTGTCCCTTAATATACCATCCCTATTTGGCAGCATAGTCATTCTGGTAGTACCTCTGGTTATTTGCTGATGGTCGCCATAGAATCATGATGACAAAGAGGATCATGGAGAAGAGTAATCGCCAAATGGCATCATCCACCCACAGCTCCCTCCAGTCCTGCAATAAGTGGAAATGGACAACACTTTATGTTTATTATCACTGTTCACAATCCCGTGGTAGAGAAAAAAAATCCCTTATTTATATACTCAAGCTGTGTTTATTAAAAGCTCCTGTGCTAAGCAGCTGGCAAGTGCTGGGGCTATAAGCATGGGGATAAAAGCAGTTTCTAGTTTCCTTTGTTGTGCTTACTGTAGCTACAGCAAAGATACTACACAACTGTGGAGTACCTGTCAAAGTGCCACAGCTCCCACAATCCTCAGGGAAATTAATATTTGGTTGCTAATTTTTAAATCACACCCACCCACACACAAAACCAGGCTGGCCTCGAACTCAAAGATCTCCCTCTCTCTGCCTCCCATGTGCTGGAATTAAAGTGCACACCACTACAACTGGTTTAGGCTTAAATTTTTGGGTTTGTTTTTTTTTTTAATAAATAAATTTTTTTTATTTATTACAATTTATTCACTTTGTATCCCAGCTGTAGCCCTCTCCCAATCCTGCCCTCCCTCCTTCTTTTCCTCCCATGCCCCTCCCCCAGTCCACTGATAGGGGTGGTCCTTAGCCTATCAGGTCTCATCAGGACTGTCTGCACTGTCTTCCTCTGTGGCCTGGTAAGGCTCCCCCAACCCACCCCACCCCCTCAGGGGGAGGTGATCAAAGAGCCAGCAACTGAGCTCATGTCAGAGACAGCCCTTCCCTGTTTCCATTACTAGGGACCCCACTTGAAGACTGAGCTGCCATAGGCTACATCTGTGCTGGGGTTCTAGTTTATTCCCATGCATGGTCCTTGGTTGGAGTATCAGTCTCAGAAAAGACCCCTATTACGCTTAAACATCTAATCATCCTGTTCAGATTAAAAGCGTGTGCCATCATGCCTGGCCCTATTGCTAGTTTCATAATTGTCAGTTGTCACTTATCAGTATGACCAAAAGATATCTCCATAGAAATCTTATTGGCCACAGTCTCTGTCCACATTTTAAATATCTATTCATATTAGCATCATTCATAAATGACGTTCAGCACTTCCAGAGTTAAGGCAAGCCTGTAATATGACAGGCTGTGTTTATCATCCACAAAATTATTTTCTATGACAAGCATGGCCATATAAAAACATACCAATGGGGCTGCAGATGTGGCTTAGTGGCAAAGCTCCTGCCTAGGATGCACAAGGACCTGGGAGTAATTCCTAGGACCAATAAATAAATACCAGTATATCACACAAAAGGACAGCACAGATTACTCAGGAGCAGAGACCCTGCCTTAAACTTGTACACCTTCTACGAATCAAGGACTACAATCAACATTATCACACTCATAACTGCACATGTTTATAACTTACCGACTGGCAAGTCACTATTCTGAACTTCATGGTTGTCCAAATGATGAACACAATAGATGCTAGCATGAAATGAAAAACCTGGTCAGAACATGAATGGTAATTTATACCCCCAATTACATTCACTAATCTTGAATAAATACAACTTCATATTCCAGACTTCAAAACATTACTATCACTTATTTTCCATATAAATTTATTAAACACCTACCATAGGCAAAGCCCATAATACTGTTGCCAACATTTTCTGTAAATACAGCTTTGCAATCATTTTGTCTTTATCATCTGACTACTTCAGTAACCCTCAGAATTAGAACAATAGCTAATGGAATATATGGCTTTTATCAACATTATCAGAATAAATTTTTCCTTCTCCAACTTACTTTCTTGAGGAAATATCTCTCACTGAAATAGGAGCTTAATGATTGGCTAGACTTGAAGTTCACCAATTTGGGAAGACTAACTGACCAGTGAGTCCCACGGATTCTCCTGTTTCCACCTTCCTAGCATCAGGATTACCCGAACGAGCCACCATGACTGGCTTTTCACATGGGTCCTGGGGAATATGAACTGAGGTCTTCGTGCTTGAATGGAAAGTACTTGTATATTAAACCACCTCCCTAACCCCACAGCTGGCTTTTCCACCTGAAGACGAGGGATCTGAACTGTTGTCCTTACACTTACATAGCAAAGCATTTGGCTGAGACATCTCCCGAGCTACTCCTCATCTTCTTTTAAAAAATCATTAATCCTTTAAAGAATATGAACTACGACTGCTTTCCTTGAATGAAAAGCAAAACTTTCTCTAACTACACATGGCCTTCTTAGGCTACGAATTTCTGTTCTGGCTTAGCAGTTAAGAGTACTGGCTGCTTTTCCAGGGGACCTAGGTTCAGCTGTCAGCATGGCACATGGTGGCTTACTACTGTCCATAACTCCAGTTCTAGGGGACTTGACACCCTCTTCTGGCTTTGCATCAGGTACAGATGTGGTACTCAGATACATGCAGGCAAAATACCATAAACAAACGAATGAATGAATGAATGAATGAATGAATGAATGAATAAAACAATTTCTGTTCTAAAGGAAATCACAGGATCAGGATGCAACATTTAAAAAATTCCAAACTTACCTGCTACTGCCAAGATAAGTGTGTTGGTGAAATGTCGGTATAGAGAGAGCTTTACAATGTTCCTCCGAAGTTTTAACAGCTTCATTGTTTGAGTCAGGCTAATGAATATGTGTTTGCAAGTCAAGGAATTAAACGTTCAAAAAGGTTAAGTAAAGATAACCTAGGGTCATCTTTTAAGTCTACAGATCTCAGAGGCCTTATAGCTCTTATTTTCACTTATTCTCACAAACACTACAAAACTTCACCATGATTAAGGAGAAAATTATCATTTCAATATGACACAGAAAAAAACTTGATGTGGATGAGAGTGAAAAAATAAGAAGAAAAATACAAGGAAATAAAGAAAGGTATAGGCTTGCTGAAAAAGGTGAACAGAGAACTATGGTAACGACAAGGTGCGTAACATGCAAGAGACGGGTTGACACCATTTCAGTCATCACCTGGCCCACAGGTGTAGCTAACCACAGTCACACCTGTGCCCACAGCTGCTGGAGTTCTCTACTCAGTCCCCAGGAGCAGCATCAGCTGCCCACACTACTGTGAACTAAAAGGACCCAACAACTGTCTGAAGGTCCCAGGCAAGTTGGCTACCAAAGCAGTGACGCTTCATTTTAAGATTCCCAAGTAGAAGCTCCCATGCGAAAACAAAAGGGAACCGATGACTACTACAGATGATGCCTGCTTTCATGCCCGAGTATCAGAGGAGCAGACACAAAAACGAAGGAGCAGGGGCGATCAGAAGGCTCGCCTGGTACAGGCGCTCACCACCCAGCAATCTAGCCTGATAAGCCAAGCTCCATCTCCAGAAGCCATGTGGGGGTGAAAAAGAGAATTCTCTAGGAAGGTGTCCTCTGCCCTTCACATGTACACTGTGGCATGCACCTCCCAACAAATTACATGTTAAAAATAAAATAGCAAGCGCCTGGAGAGATGGCTCAGCACTTAGGTGTACACACTGCTCTTGCAGACAACCACCAGGGTTAGGTCCCCAGCACTCACATCGGGCAGCTTACAACAGCTGGCAACTACAATGATGGGACCCAGCACCCACTTTCTGGCCTATGCAGGTAATGCACTCATGGGCACAATGTATACATATACACTTAGGAAAAAAAGTAAATTTTAAAAAGAAAAACAGAAGTAAGAAAAATGAAGGGAGCTAGAGCTTACCTATCAGCACTCTCAGCGATTGCTAAGCCACTCACCCATCACTCTCCCAGCACTCAAGCATCACAGTACTTGGCAGATACTCACCTGGACCCTGACACCTGAATTTCAGTCTTTTTTGCTATAGGCAATCTACCCAAATTCACAAAATTAGAATTTTGTTTATTTATTTATTTATATTTTTAAACAGGGTTTCTCTGTGTAGCCCTGGCTATCCTAGAACTCACTATGTAGACCATGCTGAACTCAAACTCAATGATCTGTCTGCCTCTGTCTCCTGAGTGCTGGAACTAAAGGTGTGCACCAACACCAGCTCATGTTATGATTTTTTACAACCATCAAAATCTATCAGGACAAAAATGCTGCACAATTAAATATATGCTCATATACAAAAAGACAAACCAAATTTAAAATACCCCTAACAAGATAAATTCCAAAAACCTGAACCCAAGAGATCAGGTCCCTACTACACAAGTGTTTAAGTAACAGGAACAGAAACCTGTTTATCCACTGTCAGTTTGTTCTGAAGGGTAATAGGTACCTTCTAGGTGAAAGAAGAAATTTACCCTTCCTGAGGCTGAAACCTGCTCATCCCACTTAAGAGATTTAGGACAATCAAACCTCTTAAATAGTTCAACCCATTTTTAGGCATCAAATTTTTTTTCACAGGCATCAAAGAATTTTATACTTGGTGGAGACAGAAAAGAGCAGGACCAGAGCAACCAATGATTCTAATACAAAGAGAGATGAGCAAACAACAACCCAAAATCAAGAAGAGATGTCCATTTTAAAAAGAGAAAGCAGAAGCTTTTATCATGTGCTTAGCAACCAAATTCTGTGATTTTAAGAATGACAAAACAAACAAAACTGCTTACCTGAGCCCTCAGGCCATTAACACATAAAATAAACCATTTCCCAGATCAAGGAGAAATCAACAGAAAGATTAATGGAAGCCCATCTCCAAGGGGAGAAAATGGATGGCCATCAAACAAGCCAATGAGTAGGATATCCACCAGCACAGGGCAGTGTCTAGGAAAGCCAAGGGTATAAAGGCCAAGGAAGCAAGATCAGTCTGGGCCTGCAGACAAAGAAAAAGAGGTGATGAAAACAGATGAATAGAGGCAACAGAGGAATCCAGCACATGGTTCTGCACTTAAACAGTTAGCTGGAATGGGTTTGCATATGATCTGAAGAAAAGCACAAGGGCCAGCACTTGGCAAATAAACACTTCTCCCTTCTTATGCACCTGCAGACAGCATTCAGCTTAATTCAGTTAATTTACAAACTGTCAATTATTCTCAAGTCAACGGAACTGCTACAGAATACTACCATAGAGTTCCCATGTAAGAAAGAACACCACAAAAAAGTCCTCGTGTTTATAACCCCAGCTCATCTTGATTTCCTACTATTATTTTTAGACTAAAAACCTAAAAATATATCTCTTACATTTTAAATAATTATTGTATCATTAATATAATAAGAATTCTTGATTCTCTGAGTAACATAATGAAATTTTACTAATAATAGTTTACCATAAAATACAATGCAAGTATTCCCCCCAAAACAACAGTCTTAGTTTCTACAAGTTTGTATCTAAAAATCTTTGTATATAGCTCTAACAACCCAATCACCAGAGAATTATTAAAGGATATCCATAAAATAATACAGGCATCAACTGCAGAGAGGGCCAGGTTTACTATCAGAGCCAAGGAGTAAGAAAAATACTAAAGCAATGGCAGAAGAGAAAAAGTGAAATTGACAGTTTGGTTAAAGTTGCTAATATCCAGAGATTGCACACAGGGGACAGGGCACCGGGGCAGTGGGGCTTGAAAAACAAACTTACAATTATGAATAGTGTATGGAAGGGGAAGTGTCGCAAAACTAAATGCACTCAGTTTTACTAAGGGCAAAGCCAAGTGTACAGAACTGAACACTTTGAGTCTAACAGGTTATGACAAAAATCTGATTTTTTTTTTTTAACTAATGAAACAATTGTAATGGCCCAGGAAGCCCACTTCTTCCTTCCTTGGCAATGGACTGTGTGAAACCTAATTGCATTTAAGTTTTAAACCTTAAGTTCTAGGTAAGTAGAGAACTGTTGCTTTTGATTGGATGAACCTTATGTAAATGGGAGAAAGAATCAAATAGTTACCAATCTGGGGACAGGTGGAAAGAAGATATTCATAACAGATCATATAGTAAGTTTATCAAGCTCTAATAGATGAGATTAGAAAAACTGAGTTATACAAGCTGAGCATCCCCAGTTCAAAACACCAAGACCACAACATCCAAAAATTTTGAGATTTTAAATGGGTTTTTAGATTAAGGGATGTCCAACCAGTACAGCCTATGGAAACATTCTAAAATCAAAAAAAATTTTCAAGTGTGGCACTCTCCTGGTCCCTAGCACATCATTTAAGTAAAAGATGTCTATTAAAGTCAGAATCCATGGACAACAGAAGAGCCATCATCACCCACTTACTGACTCAAGATAGAAACATAACAGTAACCGATGACAAAAACTTGGACTAAGAAAAAACAAAACAATTAAGTACTTCAGTCTAAGCAGTACTGACCCCTGTAACTCTGAGGACCCCTTCCATGCCAGAGAACAAAAGATAGAGTGCTCCTGCCACCACAACCTTGTGAAGAGTGACTCCAAGTCGAGGCCTGAAAAGGAAGCAGAGAAAACTGAGCACAGAAGCAGCCAAGTAACATGCTAAGTCACGGCATCAGAGCCCGCACTTAGGGGTAACATGCTCCTGAGAAGAGGAGACCACTCCTGGCTGTTTGTTCATGAACGATGACAAGAAATACTAAAACCCAAGATCTGGCACCTGATTAATATACACACACGTACACATGTATATATGAAAAATTAGATACCGTATTAAAAAAACCATAAAAAGGCCCACTCAGTCTTAACAACAGCCAGCCTATTGCTAATTCCACCCATGCACACACCATTCATTTCCCAGACTTTCACACTATCTAGAAAAAAACATATAAAAGTGTGACTATTTGTGTTTGGTTTTTTTGTTTTGTTTTCAAAAATGAGGATTTGAAAACAAAACAAACCCATGCAGCTGGTGAGATGGCTCAGCAGGTAAATGAACTTGCAGACAAGGCTGATGATGAGTTTGATCCCTAGAACCCACATGGTTGAAGGAGTCCCACAAACTATCCTTCATTCCTGCTCTTGTAAGTACACACACAACCACAGAGCCAGGCTTGGAGGGGTAGGCCTACAATCTCAGCATAACTTGAAAACAGTCTGCACCACACAGCACCCTGCTTCAACAAAACATATCCACAATAACATCAGCAAATCTCAAAATGTTAACAATTCCTTCACACAATCACATTTTGTGTTGTAGTCCACTGATTAAGCTCAAGCTCAAAACCCAACTAAATATAAATTTTTCAGCAAAGGCGGAAAAGCCTTGGAGCCTTAATAGTTAAAATCCTACTCCACTAGAATCTGTATTTTAACAAAATTACTGGGTGGTTCATTATAGTACATCTGCCTAATCCAGATGAATCTACATAGGTATTTCTAGCGAGGAAAATGTTTACAATGGTAGGGAATTATCTAAGAAATCTTAAAATCTTCATCACATTTAGAAGGCTTTTCAACATTTATACAAAATTTTAACCATTAAATTTATTCTACTTAATGTCTTTGGAATATTCCTGTCCTGGTTTCTCTTGAATTCCCTCTAATTCAAAGGACAGCTTCTGTACCTACCACTTCCTCCAAATTGTTCTTGTTATGGTCACTAACGCTCTTCATTAATTAAACCCAATAGTTAATTTCCAATCCTCTTAACTGACCTATCTAATCATCTGATTCAATTAAGAATTCCTCCTTGCTGGGCGGTAGTAGAGCGCACCTTTAATCCCAGCACTTGGGAGGCAGAGGCAGCAGATCTCTGTTCGAGGCCATCCTGGTCTACAAAGCAACAGGACAGCCAGGGCTACACAGAGAAATCCTGTCTCAAAAAAACCAACCTCTCTCCACCCTCCTCCCCAACAAAAAAAAAAAAAAAAAAAAGAACTCCTCCTTGGAACAGTCTTCAGTTTGCCTCTTACTTCAACCATTACTCAAATTCCTCTGCTAACTCTACTTCATGACATCTAAGGAAGAGAAAATATCGAAACATTCAGCCTCTGACCCTTTCTCCAGACTCAGTTCCTTGGTAACCACATGCAGTGTCATGACTTAAATAGTACCTACACCTTGATAACTCACCAACTTCTATCCTGGCCCTGGCCTCACCCCAGGGGTTATCTAGCCAACCTCCTAATCTTGCCACTGTGCCAAGCCGATTCCGTGATCTTCCTGGACTTAAGGAAATGGCAATGCCTTCCTGCCATTCCAGCAGACCAACAGTTGGCGTCATCCCCAGTTCTCTTTGTCACATGTCACAGGTGGCCATCATGAAATGCCACTGGCTCCATCTTCAAAGCATGCATGGAATCTACTCACACCTCAGAATCTCCTTTCCTAGGTGAACTGTTGGTCCCTTGCTTTCCTCAAATCTTCGCTTGGATGTCACTAAAAGAAGCTTTCCCAGGTCACCCTATTTACAGTTCCAAGTTCCAACTTCTGCCTGACATTCCTCATGCCCTTTCTTATGTACCTTTAACTCATTTACTTCAATTTTGTCTGTGTTCCCTTCCTCTACAAATGTAAACCCCAAATCTCTTATTTGTTGTATAGCAGGGGCCTAGAAAAATGAGTGCCTGGTATATGGAAGACACTTGATTGTTTAGAAATAATTTGATAAGTACACTGGAAGAAGCAATGGGCTATGCAATGACCACAGTACTGCACATTTCAATACATTTTTGTTTTTTTCTTTTTTAGTAAGTTTTTGTTTGTTGGTTTTCTGCTTTGTTTTTTGTTTTGTTTTGTTTTGTTTGGAGACAGGGTCAATCCTTTTTTTACTAAAAAATTTAAAAATTTTAAACAATTACAGTTAAGAATATTCTTTTGATTAAAAAAAATCTAATTTGTGTGATGGAGAGGTGCTCAACAGTTTAGAGCATATGTTATCTTGCAGAGGACCACTGCCAGGATTTTCATGGCAGCTCCCAACCACATGAAACTCCAGTCCAGGTGCCCTCTCCAGGCTTTTACAGGTAGCAAGCATACGTATGGTATACACATACAAAGAGAAAGAGAGACAAAACACCAATGAATGTAAAATAAATCTTTTTTAAAAAATATGACTTAGAGGGCTGGAAAGATGGCTCAGTGGTTAAGAGCACTGACTCTTCTTCCATAGGACTTAGGTTCAATTCCCAGCACCCACATGGCAGTTCACACCTGTCTGTAACTCAAGTTCCAGGGGATCCAAAAACCTCACATAGATGTGCATGCAGGCAAAACACAATGCATATAAAACTAAAAATACATTTAAAAAATATGACTTGTAAAAACATTTTCAAATAGTTAGAGTTCACTGTGAAAGTTTGGTTTTCCTGCATCATTTGTTTCACTACAGATTTTTCTGCAGATGTATTGAATTTTTAAGATAAAAGTAGCATTTCTTTCTTTTTCTTTTTTTTTATTTCTGTTTTCAAAGAGACAGGGTTTTACCTGTGTAACAGTCCTGAAAAGTAGCATTTCTAATGCTTAAAATTGCTACAAAATCTCAGACATTTTTATCTCCCAACTATTTTTTAATCAACCTTTTTAGAACCAGCACTGTGTAGCCAGCAATCTTATCAGTATTTTCATTCAGAAGCAGATACTCACTTGACTATGCCATATCCCAGACTGACTATGATGACCAGGGTTCGAGCCAGCGAGCGTTTCACTGCTGAGAGCAGCTCTGCAAGGACCAAGGCATCCCGGACTATGAGAAAGAAAGACAGAAATGGCACTACATTCCAGTTTCAACCAAACACACAATCAAACTACTCGAATGTAGGACACTTTTCAGAATGAGCACAAGTAGCAGACCTACTAAAGAGAGAATATCTTTTGTATGAATTTTATAAGCACACAGCTGATATCTCTGAGGAACTCAGTCGTGTGCAAAACAATCTGGTTGTGCTCAACCCATCAACTCTTCCCAACTTCCCTAAAACCTTAGCAGACTATCTTACCCTTATACAGAGAGTTTATGGTATCAAGAAATTTTCCCTACCTTTTTTTTTCTTTGCAAACTGAAATACAGTTATAAATGGAAAAGCACACACATACATCCTAGCTCACACGCATAATTTTCACCTCTTCTATTTTCAAATCTTTCCAAAGACCCAGGGAAGATCTTATTAGCATATCTTGTAACAATAATGAACAAATAGTCAGAGAGAAAAATTACCATACCAGATAATTTGTAATTACTAGTCAACCTTATTAAACCATACGCACCTTCTCATTTACTTGGTATTGCTGTATGTTACCAGGTCTTGGATGCACCCCCCCCCACACACACACAAGCACAAAAGTCTATGTGTCTTGCAATCAGTGGCATCTTACAACTAAATTGGCACTGTTTTCTTTCTTTCTTAATGGTGCCTGAAACTGGGATTTAAGAAATATGACAATTATTTCCTAAATGGCCACTTTTCTGTGTGCTTCAAAAAAATTATTCTTGTATCAGTGTACTCCTGAAATACAACTTAGGACGGAAAGTCACCATGACTCTTCACAAAGCAGTGATTCTGCTTTGGTTATTTTAATAAACAAGTGAAAGGAAGACCTATGTAACCACTGCTGACTTGAGAGAAGTTGGCATGCATCTCATCCATCATCAAAAAAATGGCAAATTTGGTGGTGGAGAGATGGATGGTTCAGTGGTTGTGATTTATACTACTCTTGCAAAGGACTTGAGTGGGTGACCCATAACTGCCTATACTCTGGTTCCATGGAGATTTGATCACCTTGGCCCCCACAGACACCTACTCTTATGTGCATGTAACATACCCCCTTCCACTGATATATACATATAATTTTAAAAATATAAACCTTAAAAGGGGTGGGGGCAAATTTGGGTCTGGTAAGATGGTTCAGCGGGTAAAGGTCCGAGGCTAAACCTGACCACCTGAGTTCAATTCCTAGGACATACATGGTCAAAGGAGAGAACTGATTCCCACAAGTTGTGGCACATGGACCCTCACATGCACACAAAATAAACAAACACAATTTTTAAAATGGCAGTTTTTAACATACCAGATTCTCCTTTGTATCGGATATTCTGAAATTCTGCATAAAACACAGCTTTCTCAAACATTCCCAGAAAGATGACGGCACCAATCCAAAACTGAATTCTCAGGAGATCTCTCCAGTAGCAGGCAGACCACGCCAGCCAGAGAACACCAAATAGGACGTACACAATACACATCACCATGAAAAACTGTTATCCAATTGGGAATGATATAAAAAGCAGAATTAGGACCAAGTATTCAGATTTAAAATCAACATATAACACACCACAAAAAAAAAAAAAAAGACTTTACCTTCTTTTTTGAAAAATAACTATATCTAGCATGTATCACTAACAAGAAAAAAAAATGATCTAGTCTTGAACAGAGCAGACTACGGAAGGACTTGTCCTCAAGAATGTCTGCTCCTTGCATTAGGTGGGCCTTTTTAGCTCACAACCCAGTGATAAAATGAAGACAACAGTCAAGAAAAAATAGGCCTGACAAGCTGGGATACAGAATCATGAGGCACTAAAACACAAGGGAAACCTGAATAGGTGACCCATAACTGCCTATACTCTGGTTCCATGGAGATCTGATCACCCTGGCCTCCACAGGCACCTCCTCTTATGTGCATGTAACATACCCTGCAAAGTCTGCAAACAGACCAAGAATCCTCAGCCAGCTTATGTAGTCTGCGCACTCACATAGTGAAGAAGATTCATGCTTTAGTCACTGGGAGTAGGCTCAGAGCTCGGCAGAGCATGGAGCGCCCTGTTCTAGAGCCCAAATGTGAGTTGTGAGGTGGCCACTGCCTCCCTCCAGTCCACAACAGTCACTGACCTTTTCATATCGCATAAACAGGGACCACAGGGCTACATTAACTCTGTTATGGTCACTGTCTAGTAAGTTAAGGGCTGGGGAGGTGGCTCAGCATGTAGGAGCACTTACTGCTCTTGCAGAGGACCTGGATTCAGTTCCCAGTATGCACATGGGGGCTCACAACCATCCTTAACTGCAGTTCCGGGAAATCCAATGCCTTCATCTAATCTCTGCAGGCATTAGGTTCTCATGTAGTCCACAGACAACTGAACAGGTAAAACACTCACACCCACAACGTAAAATAAAATCTAATTTAAAAAGTTAACACCAAAAAAAAAAAAAAAAAAAAAAAAAAAAAGTTAACACCAAATCTCAAGCAACATTTTCTGAATGGCACAGGAATAATCCTTTAATGAGATAATGCTAAAAAAATAATTTCATGCTAAATTAATTTATTGCCAAGGTTAAAAACACACATTGACTTACAATCATCAGTGGGTAGTCTTCAAGAGTAAGGTATTCATAAGGACCCTTTACTTCAACGGTCACTGGCAAAACACAGGCATCAATTAATTTGATAGATTCAGTAAACAAAACCCTGATTAGTTTTTATTTTATAAAATTAGTAAAAGTTTTATCACTCATTTACTTTCAAGCACTTCAATCATAGTAAATAATACATCAGATGTAGTAGCTTTGAAAACCATGAATTAGTCTCATGCTTCATCCATGTTCCAGTCTTTTTTCTCTTCTTCCTTTTGTGTGTGTGTGGGGGGGGGGGTAGGTTTTTATTTTTGCTTTTTGTTTTATTTTGTTTTTAGTTTTTTCAAGACAAGATCTCACTATGTAGCTCTGGCTCTCCCGGAACTCACTATGCAGACCAAGCTGAACTCAAACTTACCAAGCCTGCCTCTGCTTCCAGAGTACTGAGATTAAAGGCATGGACCACATGCCCAGCTCATCCTCCAACCTTTAGTGGCAAAGTCCTCCTCCACATTCATAGCCTCTGTGTACGTGTCCAGTGTGCTTGTTCAGGTTAGGATAGCTGGCCAGGAAGCCCAGGGGACTCTGCCTCCCCAGTGCTGTGGTCACAGGTGGATACTACCACATCAAGCTTTTTCATTTTCCCCTGTGAGTTCTGGAATAGAGCTCAGGGCCTCCTTATGAACACCTTACAAGCACTTTATAGACTCACTTCCTCAGTAGCCATACTCTTTAGAGACTAGACTTATCAAGATAGCATTTCTTCGTAAACCCATCCCTGAGATCCTATCTTGAGCTATTCCACCTCCTTTAAATTCCAAACACTCTTGGTATACCACTTCTTATGATGTAGTCCTAATATTCTTGTCTTCTACCTGTCCTTACCATTCCCTAATATTTTTTACTTATATTTTATGATCATGGAGGATGAACGTCACTTTCAAAATCAGAATATTTTTTCAAAAACCTTAAAATATATAATGATCTATCCAAGTAATATACCTTTCCTAGTAAAATAAGGTGTAAAAACAATCCAGCAGCTTCCTAATTATGTAAGCAGAATCCTCACTCAAGAATGAAAACCAACAGGGCTGTTACACACAGAAACCAAGAAAGAAAGAAAGAAAAGAAAGAAAGAAAGACAGAAAGAAAGAAAGAAAGAAAGAAAGAAAGAAAGACAGAAAGAAAGACAGAAAGACAGACAGACAGAAAGACAGAAAGACAGACAGACAGAAAGACAGAAAGACAGACAGACAGACAGAAAGAAAGACAGACAGAAAGAAAGACAGAAAGACAGACAGACAGAAAGAAAGAAAGACAGAAAGACAGAAAGAAAGAAAGACAGAAAGAAAGAAAGACAGAAAGACAGAAAGAAAGAAAGACAGAAAGACAGAAAGACAGAAAGAAAGACAGAAAGACAGAAAGACAGAAAGAAAGACAGAAAGACAGAAAGACAGAAAGAAAGAAAGACAGAAAGAAAGAAAGACAGAAAGAAAGAAAGACAAAGAAAGAAAGACAGAAAGAAAGAAAGAAAGAAAGACAGACAGAAAGAAAGAAAGACAGAAAGAAAGACAGAAAGAAAGAAAGACAGAAAGACAGACAGAAAGAAAGAAAGAAAGACAGACAGACAGAAAGAAAGAAAGAAAGAAAGAAAGACAGAAAGACAGAAAGACAGAAAGAAAGAAAGACAGAAAGAAAGAAAGACAGAAAGACAGACAGAAAGACAGACAGACAGAAAGAAAGACAGACAGAAAGAAAGACAGACAGAAAGACAGACAGAAAGACAGACAGACAGACAGACAGAAAGACAGACAGACAGACAGACAGAAAGACAGACAGAAAGACAGACAGACAGAAAGACAGACAGA